TAAATGATAAAATAAGAGGGATGATCCCTTTTAATTGGACTGAATATAATGCATATGTACAAATTACAATCTGATCGCCACCAACTTTCCACCCTTATTTATATATATTTTAAGGAGGAATATTTTTCGTAACGAAATAGTAATTTATCGCTGATAATCGCAGAATAGCGGGACACTTGGGAGCTTTATACAGCGAAAAGGCGATGTAATATCTTTCTTTATCGAGCATCAATAGAGTGGAACGAAATGTCTCCGCGGTAGGCGTTAATCGTGCACCATTCTAATCAGGCTTATCTGAATATCAGATGACCGATATCCACGTACAATAATTGTTTCTCTTTCAACGCTAGATAATCCACGGGATTGATGCTTCCACCGATCACATTACGTAAATTGCTCGTTATGCTACCAGCTGGATATCGACTTTCACTCGTTTCAAAAAACATGCACGTTGAAAACAAAAAAGTTTCGATCGTTCGTGGAATAAAAGTCATCCTCCGCGTCGTGTATCGTGAATCGGGGCGGATCCTGAAGACTTACTTCGGTGAAACGGAACGAAATGCATAAAACTATATTTCTGAATTTTGTTTCTAGTTTATTTATCGATATTTCAATTAAATTAGTCCACGCTCGAAAAAGACTTGTTTACTTGAAATAAGAGATATTCGTCCCTCCAAAGGTCAACTTATTTTTCTATCGCTAGTTTATAAGCTCGCGTTTATTATTTTCTAAATTCTAACGTAATCTAGATACGTTTTCCTCTACCAACGATAATTATTCGACACGCGTCGAACAAACGAAGGAGTCCATTTTCTTTTTAGTTTAGAATGAGCTCGTTGCCAAAGTATTTCTCGTAATTTATATGCCCGGTGGAAATGAGACATCAACGACGCGACCGTTGGGAAAGTTACGCACGATGTACCGCTAAATATCAACATTGTCATAAATATTAATGAGATATTTAGGTTATGTCCGATGGGACGATAGCGTGATAGAAAGACGGGGTAAGGAACGGTCAAGGAAAAGGACGCGAAAAGTTCTACGTGCATTTGATGTATCGGCTTCGGTGGCCGGATAGATGGATTACAATCATTCCGGTAGCTGGGGTGGTCAAATACCGTGACCATGCGTGTCTCAAAGCTATCCTTGGACGTACATGTACGCACTTTCGAGTGCACACGTGGCTCCGATGCGTGCACGATGTGGGCCCCTGCAACCAACTACGGCAAGGACGCGACTTTGACTCACAGAATGCCTCCGACCGATGCTCGAATTTTCAAACGCAGATAACGAACTTGCGTTATCTTCGGATCCAACATCTTGTTACGCCACCTCGCAGTAGGCCACGATACGTTCCCAAGTCGTCAAAAAATAATTTACCAATTCCAACGAAGGCAAAACGTATGCTGACATTTGGAAATTTTTCCACACCATACCAAACGTCTCATATAAATTTTGCATAGGTGCAATCAAAGTACCTACTTTGAACACTATTTTTGGTGAATAATAAAATGTTAATTTATATCTATAAAAAATATAACCGAATTTTCTTGTCGCGCGATGGGGTTGATTTCTCCGAATTTGTTTGAAACATTTCTTATTCATACGTTTAACGAATTATTTATTTTTTGGAGCGTTTCTGATATTTCTATAAGAAAAATAAAACGCTTTAATGCGATCGTATCGTAAACATCTGTACATTTACACGCAGGGGTACATTATTAATTCATATACATATACCTTCGTCCTAACGACCAAAGAAGAATACAAGCATGGTACTAGAATTGCGATATTATATACAGGGTGCACCGCTTGAACCGTCCACTCTGATTATATTCGTTGTTGGATCTAGGTGCTTTTGCTTTTGGCACATTTACAAAGAAATTAAAAATGCTCCACCAACGACGAACAATAATTCAAAGTTGGGTAAATTATCGGTTGTTTTGCGTACGTTGAACACACAATAGATTTTAAATGGCCCAAAGGAGGAAATCTAACGGATTGGGATCAGGAGACCGTGGCGGTCATGCGTTGGATCCACCTCGCCCTATCCATCGGTTTGCGAAGGTGTTGTTCAGGAATGTACTCGATGCACGATAGAAATGTGGCCGTAACACCGTCGTGCATGAACCACAAATTACTTTTGACGTGCATCGTGCAATAATTCTTAAAGCCTGCTCTGCAAAAAGCCAAGATAAACAGTCCCATTTAGTCTAGTTGGAAGAAAGACTGGTGCTGAAAAACACCATCCCCCACAATTCCACGCATTAACGGAAAATTTATAAATTAAATTAAATAAAGTGTTAAACGTTTCAGAACAACGAACAAGTCTGCGTTTAAATTCTTTTGGCAAAATTCATACTTTTCAAAGGTTGCAAATGTTATATGCTTTTGTGGACCTTCTACGAATATTTGGGAAATAGAATTTTTCTTTTTATTAAAATTGTCCGCGGATAGTGGATAACGAACGATGGTCGGGGCGCGCGGGTCAGAAATGAAAATCAGAAGTTCCCGACGATCAAAAGATCGACCGGTCAATGGAGATGCGGTCTTGTTGCACCGAATGCCAGAACGCGAACGTGGTCGTGGCACAGGAAGAAGGCAGGGGCACATCCGTATCGTGGTCAGAACCCGTGACCCCCCGTACGTACACGTGTAAAGGTACGTATGCTCATCCACGTAACACACACGATCCGCGGTTTTACCAAGGATTATCTCCCAACCCTCCCTCTGCCAACGCCCCGGTTAACGCTCGGAAATTTTAGAACGTCGAATCGTATATACGCTTTTATGGTCTTGACTTCCTACGCCAACGTTAACGTCTCCCCCCACCCCCGCGCTTCGAAAGATTCACGTTTCAGAAAGCGTCGACCGTTGTCGATTCTCGCGAAAATGTTCACCCGATGGGTTTCCCTCAAGACTGAACTTGTTAAACTTTTTTCTATTCGAATATTAAATTTAATATCAGGCTTGTACGAAATATAAAGAACGTTTAGAAATAAATTATTATTCCTCGGTGTAGTATGTTTTAAATATGAGCATAAGAAATTTATTCACAACGTTGATACGTATAGTGAAGTAATTTATAATATTGATTTCTTCCCAGTTTCTTATGTAAAAACAACTGTAAACTGCATCTATATTTTTATGAAGCATACAGTCGATATATTTTGATTAATTCTTTTTCAATAAGATAGGAAGTTATCCCGAAACGTTATAAATTGCTTGTTCAACCAAAATGAAATCTGTTTTGTTGCCTTACGTCGTAAACAGAAGCTAGAATTTATCGATCGTCTTAGGTCGTAAATTGATAACAGCGGATGATATTTTAAAATGGAGTATTAACAATAAGCGATTAAGAGAAGTTATACGGATTATTTTCAACGATCTGAAGTAGTATACGTGGCTCATAAAAAAAATTAGATAAGTGTCATCGACCTATTGCTGGATCGTTAGTATATCAACAGCAAATCTTGTTATTGCTCTCTAAAATATGTATAATATATTCTTGTAATCGAAGATCTCGTCTTGGATTTTTCGATAGGTTTTCAAAAAATTCACGGATGTTCGAGTGTCAATTGTTATACACGGTGTTAAGGAGAAAGGAATTTCTTGCAAGGCAAGTGCACATTACTCTCGGAAAAAGATTCTCAGTTCGTCATGCATTGTTTCCTATTTTATAACACGAATAATCATGACAGCTGCGTGACTTTAATAAACTCAGCACTCCGAGAGAGATAAGTCAACGTCAAAATGTTCAACGTTGCCTTACAAAGTTCGCAGCTGACGTAACTGAAAATTGAACCAACGGTGAATCGTAACATTCGAAAACCGTTTAGCCTCCGAAGCTTCTGACCTTTAATAAATTTAAAATTTTATAGCAAACTGTGGGAATCGTCGAGGAAATGTATGCAAGGCACGCACATGCATTATTTCCATTAAGTGCATCGAGATTTGTGAAGGTATATTTAACAGTTTCAGTCATGCAGTCGGGGACAAAATTAAGTGGACACACGGTGGAAATTGTATTCGAATCTAATCAAAACAGCATTACCGATGTAAAAACAAATTTTATTACATATCCCACGTGGTACATAGAATATTCGATCATTAATTGAAATCAACATTAACATTAGTGTATAAATAAGTTGTGTTTATTTAACAGGATTGCAAATTGCAAACAGACAAAATTATATAGATATGATGAATATTATAATCAATTTGCAAATAATATTTATGTACTGCTATAGTCCTTCCCTGGAACTATTGTTTCTAAGCTGACTCGATCGGATTTAAATCCTGTTTCAGTGGTGGCCATTTAAATGATATTGGAATTGTTAGAAAGTTCTGTATTTTTTTTAGCTTCGTCGATGATCGTCCATCAAACTTTACAGTTGCAATAAATTAGTTCCTTCTGACGTATCAATTCTGCTCAGAATTACATTTGCATACATGCTTTAGCAAAATCTAAACGTCTCTTCTTATTTGTTCGATCGATGAATGGCATCAGCTGGACAGTACTTCAATTTTCGTTATATAGTTTTCACAGACACGTTTAATTCTACTTCACGATGATGTAATTTACGTGGTTTTTTACCACAGCCTCTTAAACTCTCGACACTATTGTAATAAATAATTTTTATAAACCATTTCGACTGCACTTTTTGGCACTCCACATCGCGGATTCTTCGCGAATTCAAAGAAACAATTCAGCGATTTACGAGCAAACTGATCGAGTACGCCAAGATGCAGCGGAAAGTGGCAAATTGATATCGAGGAATTAACTCGGCGATGAATCGAATGTGCTCGAGAGGGCAGAAATTGGTAGGGTAGCAAATTGGCTGTGTAATGGTACAGGGGTTGGTTTTCTCGACGATGCCACTCACAGACGCCAGTGTTTGCATAGCGTTACGATCGTTTCCCCGGTGCGTTCGTTGCAAGAAAATAAAACCAGAGTGATTAGGAGGCCATCTAGGTAGCGACAATGATATATGATTTACCTGTACTTGATCCGTTTTCGTGTTAGCAGCCATCCATGCCTCTACAAACGTGTCCATAGCGCTCTGAAAATCCATTCCCTCGTAGAGAGTCTCTCAATAATTGTCCCGGGACTCGGAAGTCACCGCCATTTCTTTTCTTTTTTAACTTCACACTGTCACCTATTGCTTCGACGATTCTCACCGACTTTTTTTTTATTTTATCAGTTCCTACGCGTCATTCATCCGGCGAAGTTCTTCAATTCGCTACACAAATACGTCCCGATGTCACAGCCATACTTTCACGCATAGATTCATACTTTGCCCCCTATCCGCTACGACGTTACAAATTAATTCGCTAATATCATGCAGGACATGCGCCTCGAGTCTCGCGTTGCGAGCGCGACCAATCGAATCTGTTCACGCGTTTGAAAATCGACTCCTCGAAACCGACCGATCGCAATCGATTCGACATCTGTGGAATAATATCAATACCGAGCGGATTCGAAGGGACGCGTACACGTGTCGACGCGTACTCGAAAGCCGATCGAAACCGGCACTCACGTGGAACCCGATTCCGCGCTAAACCGTGCTAAATCGTTTCTTGGAGCGTCCGGTCGCGGGAACACTATCGGCGAAAAAGTACTTTCTCATTCGTGTACAAATTTCTGTATAGGAACAGATTTGGCCAACGTTTCTCGAACAGCAAGCTCTCGCCACCAACTCGAACAATCGTCACAGTTCCGTCGACGAAGTCTCATCGAGTCCTCGGGATCACTCCATAAAGACCGCGAGTAACAGTACACGAAAGCGCCAACGGCCCCTCGACTGTCAATGTCTCGACATCGTTCAACGTACACTGTCCGCGATCATGCATCCCGGTGATCTCGATTTTCCCCAATCCACGCTCGTCGAACGAACGTCCATCGTCATTCGATCGATCGATCGACGATCAGGCGATTTCCCTTAAGGTCCCGACCTCGAGGCGGTCCGATCGCAAACATACGCGACGCTGAAATAGAGACACGAGCCGCGAGAACGACACATTCGTATGGGACGGCGTTCGAGCCGCGACTGTGCATGCCGTGGCGTCGCGGCGCTGGTTCTGCCCCTACGACGCCCTACCCGCCGTCGTTGTCACCCCACCACCGCGGCGGCCACCATCGCCCACAGAGCGGAGGACCATCCTGGTCCTCACTCGGATGGTTCACCCTCAAACCCTACGGAGCTGCCTTCGTCATCCGTGCACTCTCTACTTTCTCTCTCTCGTCATCTCGTTGATCCTCTCCTCCCGTCTTCTCCCGCCTCCGCCTCCCTCACTCTCTCTCTCTCTTTCTCTCGTCTCGTTCTCCGTTTCGTTCATCCGGTTCGCCGGTTCCTTCCAATCCCACGGCTATTTTCTCTCCCGTGTTTTCCCTCGAGCTTCGCCCGCGCGTCTCTTTGTTTTCCCACCGCGATCCTCTCCCTCCAACCTCTCGCGCCTCGTCCACCCCTTTCATCCGGCGTGTCTGCCCGCCGCTCGCCTTTCCTCTCTGCATCCAGTATTCTTAGCGACTTTCTCTCTCCGCGATTTCGACTCCCACTTCTGCTCCGGGCCAGCTAGTTTTCTACCGTTACCTATCCTCCACCCTAACCCCCCCTCCCCCTCCTGCCACGCGACCCTCTGCCACCCGCGTACCCATGACGCACTCGGGGGTGTGTCTGGAGATAAGATGCACTCACACCGTCGCACCTGTGCGCCCGCAACACAGCGCACGGGGCTACATAGTCGCGGGCATCGACCAAGGGCCCCCGGTACTGGAGAGTTAAGATATCTCTTCTTACCAGAGATGGCCACGATTCTTATCTAGATAACAATTTTTAATAAAAGATAAACTAATTTTTCACGCGTTGGTTATCTCTCCGTGGCAGTTGCAACGCGTTAATAATACCTAATTCGTTTGTTCTGCCCTGGTCACGATAGATCCTAAACTCTTTTTCAGACAATTGGAAACTAGTAACAATTTGTTTTTGAACCTATTTTTACAGCCTCGTTAAAATTCAAAAATCCTATCTACATTCATTTTCTTGAGAATTGATTTTTTTAACTCCTCAGTGAAAATTCATGTCTCAACTTTGACAAATCTTGCTCTTCACATTCTATCGCAGTTATAAATATAATCGTAATTGCAACTGCATCTTGTCGGTGTGTGCAAGTTGATATATTTTGCATTTACAATAACGAAGCAACGCACCCTCGTGAATTTCCAATTCTCTATCGCGTAGATTGGTTCTAGCAAAGCTCAATACTATCCTCTCGAATACAATATACATAGTTCTTCACCCGTTGAAAAGTTAGGTCAGAAACTTTGGAAACTTTCCCCGTTGCTTCTCAGCCCTCTGATTCTCCGGCGACACAGAAAAAGGAACGACAAACCGATTATCTGCTCGTCTTGGAAATTGCTTATGGCTGGTCTCGATTTACAATTATAAATTCGTTCGATTTTATTTAAATTGAGAAGAAAGTATTATTAATTTGTTGAATGTTAAAGAAAATGCATTTACTGCTCTATTGATACGAGGTATTGAACTTTCGATATTATTGTCAATGTTTCCACCATTTACCAGTCTAGGATTGAAAAATATCTCTTCTTCTGCCACCTCGATCGTCACAAATATTTCCGTGCTCGATGGAAGGGCTAAAAAATTGAAAATTCACGAACGACTCAAAATCTGTTCGACTGGCTTATTACCGGGACGACGATGGTAATTGCTCAGTATTTGCAACGGATTACACGTTATAAATGGTTGATTATATCTATAGTAACGCCCTATGACAGTTCCGGTTTCCGGTACGCAGGCTATAATAACGACCGCCGTTTCAAAGTATTCCAATAGTAACAATTTCTTTTCCGCGGTTCGAATTCGGTGTTATTTCTTCTTTCGTTTCGCGAAGACGTTCCATTTATCAAATGACGCGTTGAACGAGCGCGCGGCGAGATCCATACTTTGCATTCAGTTAAATGAAACAGCAAAAGTCGTTTAACCCAGATCGTGACCGGCGTTATTGATATCGATTTATGCGAATGAAAAAAAGCTGATCAGTCAGGTCGGTCAGCTTAATCTCGACCGGGCTCCGATAGCGCCAAGGTATTAAACTAGATAATCCCTGGATTAGGTAGAGTGCCCGTCAGTTGATCCGTTAATCACGTGACGTATGCCATTCAATATTCTATTCCATGGCAACGATGGTTACGATGTATTTATTTTCCCTTTTTTCTCTCTCGCTGCTCCAGTTTGTCCTTAGCTTATCAGAACAACCCCATCGTACGTTCGTGGTCGTAATAATACAATATACTTAAATTTTCTATGTCTACGGTGCCCCTACGAGGAAAAGAACCCAACTGTCCGACTCCAATTCCATTTCGTAAGATAATAGAAATAAATTAGAATGCCTGCAATCGCTACGATTTTTGGAATTAACTTCAATTACTGCAAGATGTAAAATATTGCACGAGTTAATTTTTTTTTTACGAGTGGAAAGCATTATTAAAATACATTTTTTCATATTTATATTTTGGTTATTTAAAAAGGGAAAGACGAGTTGCAGCAGTGGTACGCAGCGTGGTTAATTAAGTTAAGTCCTTGACAAGTGGACTCGTACACGACGAATTTTTTAATTCGATATTCTCGAAAATCAAATTTCGTACTAACAAATTCTTCCTGCGCGGAACCAATATCGTCGACTTTTTCGTTTCATCATTTATTTAATCGTTCAGTATTTTTTAACGGTGGACACGCCTCTCTGTCAACCATACCTACTAAATAATTCTGATTTAATTTCTTTTTACTGTCTAGACTACGTACATCGTTGTAAATTGTTTTCACAACCCATCTGATAGCATTTACCATGCCCAGAGTTTGCTATTTCTTTGTACAAGACACGATTGAGAGTTCCAAACATCAATTTTTACAAGATTTTCTCTACATTTTCGAGTTATTTTTTTACGTAGATTAGCTCATTTTCGAATTTCAGTGGATTCCTCAGATTCTTCAAGCTCTTTTCTTCTGGCTTCGAACGACACTATGGAAGAACGTGGCACGTTTTCACGTAGCACGCGACGTTTCGTCCGCCTTACCACATATCGGCTGAAGTCAGCCGAAAATCTTCCCCTGAACAAACTCTTCGTGACAGATTGGGAAACCGGGAGATTTCGTTCGCTGATACAACATTCCACACTTTTCAAATCCGATTGTAGAGATACCAAATTTCACGAACCGAGACAAAGCTTGGGATTCTTGTCTGACGGAAATTCTTAATCTACTCTATCTTGGCCACAATTAGAATATTTCCTTGCTTGCAAAATACATTATGGAAACATGTTTCGATCTCTTCAAGCTTGATATTTATATCCTCGGAGTTTTATAATTTTCTAAATTTTTGTCCGAGGATCTTATTCTTTTAATTATGATTTCTTGGAATTTGTACACTTTTCACGTAAAGAGGATTCCATATCGAATCGAAACGAATATTGATTAAATAAACAGGAGAAACCCCTTGATCTCTGAGCCCCTAGATCATTATTTCTCTCGTTTTCGGAGATCTCTAGCGAACTGCAGATAAGAAGGGTCGCTTTAACGTCGATTTAACGCGGAAGTTACCCAGTCAAGAACCACATTTATTTACACAATTCATCTTGTTTCATATTGTTTGTCTAAATCTAGGAAAACATCATAATCAGTTGGCAAGATATCAGGGGAGTATGCTGGATGTGGCAGAATTTTCCAGCTTGACCTAGTCATCGTGTGCTTCGTGAATTGTGCAATATAACATCGAACATTATACTGCATCGACAAAAATATCTTTTGATCGACAAAAAACCAAACACTTGTTCTTCGGTAAGCAATTCATATATCCAACACACGGTAAGCAGAATCTTCTTTCGATAAAGATTTGGCCCAGGAACATTATAGGTGGTTCATCGATTGATAACGATCGTCGTATGTTACAAGGAACTCGTTTCTCCTTACACATTACGATTCAATCTGTCAACGACTCGATCTTGTTCCACTAAATCAGCGAAGACTAGGTTGCCAGACAGTTAATTGCCGTGAGACGACTCATGTGGAATTCATGTAACGAGATTTTGAACCTTTCCAACTGCGTAAACATGATTCCTTGCTACTGTTTCTGATATCCCTATACTCTCTGTCAGAGATACACGTGTCTCATCTAGTTTGAATCGTTGATATAATTTTTTCGTATGCCACTGTTGTCTTTACTGTTATGTTCAAATTCATATAACAAGTTCTGTTTTTTTACAAATAGAGTAATACAAATGGTTCAATTTGCACACAGGTGAAAAGATATATTAAATAAAATTACTAAAAATGTAGAAACTCTAACTGAATGGCGAGCATGTTGAATATAGCCAAACTGTGTCTGAGCAAAGAAACCACGAAAATATATTAATAACTACCCTCTAATTTATTCTCTTATACTGATATAGGTAATAAATACTAAATTTCTAGTATTGTTTTCTTATAAGTACGCCCCGGATTTTTATGCAAATTCATACTTTCGGGAAGCTTTGTAATTCGTATTTTACATATTTCTTACATTTTTGCATGTCAAAT